CAAAAGCATGAGGTGGTCACGACCATCAGTGTAGAAAGGTTTCCGGGAGTTTTGCAAACCGAGCAAAAGAAAACTAGAAAGTGGAGAGAAGTGCGGAGTCAACGCAGGAGGAGGAGATGGAACATTGACAGATGGCCGAAAAACAAGATGCAAAAGTAAGAACAATTAGAAGAATTTAGAAGTTTTAGAACTTCTAAACCACGAAAACAAAGACTGAACCAAAAAACAAAGAAGCAACGAAGGAGAGGATGTTAAAGCTCAGAATTGTTTATGTGAGAAAAACTCAAATGATAGACAAAGCAACTAAGTTTGCAATTGAAACAGAAGAGGAAACATTCAGTTGATTTTTGAATGTTAAAGAATTTGTTGCATTTAAAAATTTGCATTGTGATTTTAGTTAGTGGCTTTAGAGACACTTACTATTTATTTAGAAATGCTTGATTGGAGAATATATTAAATATTCCAGCCTGCATGATTGTTTTTAATCAACTAAGACGGCTGATCACTTTGTGGTGATATGAAAGGCTTGGGTAATCTCTTGAAGAGGGAGATTATTTCATTGTTCCTTCTCACCACCGAGTTCCTAAATTTTAATATCAGGACCAGTAACAACTAAATTTCCGAAGGGAAGAAACATAGTAGGATAATTTTAGTTTGTTGGTTGGCAGCATCGTCCTGCGTCCCAACACTTTTTAAACCTAAGAGAAAAAGTTTTAAATCGGGACATAGACTTTGGAAGTCAGAAAAAAGTTTTATCTTAAGTCATATCCTCGAAAGTGCAGATTAGTGAAGGAATTTGGAAGGCCATAATAGTGTAGTATGATGCCCTTCGTATTTTGCAGTGAGTCGATATGACGTGGATGAAAGTGGTTTCAAGCATTTTGTAAATTCTGCTCGATGGCACTGTACCATTTTGATGAAGACTACGAGACTCAATGAGGACACTGACCGGGCTGTCGGGTGAGTATGTGACATTCGACCAGAATGTACGGAAATGCAAAATCGAATTCGAAATTTTATTGTTACATCGGAGTGGGAAGGTTGACGGTTTCAACAAATTAGAAGTCTTAATCGTTCATTTTGATGAACACGGAATGGTTAATATGGAGTTTCATGTTAATTTTTAAAAAATTCGTTTAAAAAAAGACACGTCACGATCTTGAGATTTCGCGACAACTGAAAACGAGAAAAAGAGAACAACAATATTCGTTGAGATAGACGAGGTGAACGACAACCGACGATACAAATTGAAATAGCAATTGAGATTATTGTTGGAAGACCGAGTTAAAACGATTGTGCTGCTACAAGTGCTACAAGGCAATTCCTGGAAATCGGGAAGGGTGTTTGGACGACGTGACCAGCCTTCCTGAAATAAATCAGGACGTTATTTCCCCGGATTCCAGAATCCGGGGGGGGGGGGGGGTTCTCGGGAGAGAACTTGAACATTATTTTAACAAATTTTTAGCCTCTTGGAGATGTCCTGAATTGAATTAAAAACATCCAAATTTGTTTTCAGATCATGAGACGCTAGGAGTTGAGGGAAAGGCTTGATCCATCTTTGATGGAGATGATGATTTTTATCTACTGAACAAAAACAATAGTAATATAATAAATAAGTACTAGCCTTGTTTTTAGGAGTGACCTCGTGGTCTGGGGATACTGAGACTCAGCCATGAGCTCACTATTTTTGCATATAATAAAGTTAACTAGAGCGATCTGATCGAAGACGAAAACAGTAACGTTTTTTTGTCGACCGTGGTAGAAAGACCACCTAAACAACTGGCTTTGGCAGAGACGGTGAAAAGCATGTAGAGCTGTGTTTAGACGCTAGCCAGTCGTTATAGAACCTAGCTTCATTTTCCGTCGATATGTACTTCCGGGCGAATGTTACATGTCTAAATACTGACGAGTATGAATACGAGGTTGTCTAAATACAGACCGCACTCCATGTATATGTGGAGTTATCATCGTGAATGACATTTTGTATGTGAATCTAAGTCTTCTGATTTCATGTTTTTATGCCAAAAAAATTAGCCAAATGCCTCGTCATCTAATTAGTGACGCGCATGAATGGATTTGTGAAATTCGACCAGAAATGCCTTCAAATTGAATTTCGAGTTCAAATTTTATAGTAGCATCTGAGTGAGAAAATTGGCGGTTTTGGCGGATTAAGGGTGTTAATCTGACAATTCGATGAATCAGGAATAGTTAATGTGGCCTGACTTGCTGATTTTTATCTACTGAACAAAAACAATAGTAATATGATAACAAGTAGTTAGTAGCCTATTTTTAGGAGTGACCTCGTGGTCTGGGGATACTGAGACCCAGCCATGAGCTCACTCTTTTCGCATGTAATTAAGTTAATCTGAGTGTTCTGGCCGAAGACGGAAACAGTAATTTTTTTGTCGACCCGATGTTAAAAGGATACTATTGCGAAAATAGTGGGCTCATGGCTGGGTCTCAGTATCCCCAGACAGCGAGGTCACTCCTAGAAACAGGGCTACTAACTACTTATTTATCATATTACTATTGTTTTTGTTAAAAGGACCACACAAAGAACTATCTTTGGCAGAGACGGTTAAAAGCATGTAGAGCTGTGTTTAGACGCTAGCCAGTCGTTTTACAACCTATCTTTATTTTCCGTCAATATTTACTTCCGGGCGAATGTTACAATTAACGAGATTCCTACAGTCCCTATCTATCATCCAGCCAAACCACAGCAAATCAGTGGTGGAAGAAGACCCTGTTGAGCTTGACTCGTAATAACAAAATAACTTTCGACGAAATATTTTTTGTTGTAACACTTGTTTATTATATTTTCTCGTGTCGCTTCGCGTGTTTTTATTGAAGAAACATAACCATTATCATAAGAAATTTAAAATGTTAATTCAAACGTTTTCGCACATTCTGTGCATCATCAGGATTAAAAATGTCTTACAATTTTTACAAAACGATCAAAGATCAGAAAAATGAGAAACGTGTCTAAAAAGGTTCTAAAACTTTTTAACCAATCAAATTTGAACAACTGTAATTACATAATATAATTACGTAATCATGAATAAAATTTTCCTGTAAATTTTTGAGATTTTTTAGTTTTTTGTTCTTTCTGGTTATAAAATTTTGATTTGGGAAGATTTTTGATTCTGACATGTCAGTTTTTTAAATTTTAGCCATGTTATACATAGACTATAACTTTAGTGTTAATTCCCGGCTCCTGAATTTATCGCGTGTGTTGATCTTCGGCCTCTCCCTCCAAATATGCAAAGTCTCTAGTGTCAGTAGCTTATGAGTGTTGGCTGTTTGGTCTATAATCTCTGACTTCAGCTCAGCAGTACCGCCTACCTCCTGTGCCAGTCGCTCATATCTGGAAGTTTGACCTTGAGGAATACGAAATACTTGGTTTTGGGATGAAGTTTATTTTTTCAAAATTTCGAATTGAGCCTTTCATGCTCAACTTTCTCGCGACAACTGAAAACATCAGAAATAAGAGAACGACTGAATCGCAATTGCGGGAAAATAACAGAAAAAACAGCGGGAAATTGCTATTCGCAATTTCCGAGATTATACTAAAAACACGAGAGTAGAGCTGTCCCATCTTGATATAGGAGACAGAGTGATTACGAAAGAAGATCAGCTGAACCAGAGTGAACCTTCAGTGGAAAGGTAGACAACTGAAGTCTCCCATTGGTTCAGACCCAAAACTATATTCTCAAGTTAAAACTCATTTCCTTCGATTGGAATTCATTGATAGAAAACTTCTCGAGTTATATTCAATTATATTTATGCTAGAGTTACTAATTAGCTTAATTACTCTGATTCTCAAGTGTGCTGCTATGTAAGTACCTAATTTAATTTTCCCGAGTGTATTTTGTGATAAGTATGTTGAGATAAGGCGAGTTTTAGGTTGATCCATCTGAAATGGATCAAAGTTCCACTGTCCAATAAAAAGTAACTTAACTGATTGTTGCGACACTGTTTTTAACGGCGTTCGTGCGTTTTGGGTATTTTGAGACCTAAGTACGGGGACGTTCTTATTTTCTAGAGTGGGGGGGGGGGTATTTTGGTAGTGACCTTTAAGCTGTAACGGGTTCTAGTCTCATGTCGCAAGTGAACCGAATTGGCTCCGACCGTTTTGAGGTAGAAAAACACGAGAGATAGTGTCCCTGACTCTTGAGCCAATGGTTATAGGGCCTATTCTTAAGCCTCATATGTGACCGAAGTAGGCGACTGTTACATCCTTATTACATTCTAACAAGGGTTGTCCTACTGGGGAGTCCGCTTTGCGGTGTTCATCGACCCTCGTGGCTAACCATTATCGATTTTAATTGTAAGAACATCAATGCTTGACATCTTCTTTTACCATTATCCTTTCCATATCTAGAAAATTCCAAGGATTTTGACTGGAATACGCGATGAAGGGACTCCTGGCTGTAACCTCGGTTTCTATGATACTTTTGACATTCTGATTATTTGAAGAAGAAAAATTAATTAATAATAATAAAAAACTTTTTAACTAGCCATTTTTGACGGAATTTTTTTATATCATTCGAAAGGTATTGTTGTCCTGAGCTAAAATTTGAAAAGATATTTCACCTTTGATCATTTTTTGTAAAATTATGGGGGTTTAAAGATTGCCATTTTGGCCAATTTGGGATAAGTTGGGACAATTAACGCGCGATATAATTCGCGCTATTAACGCGTAAGCGGAGGTTTAATCCGTCTTATAAATCGTTCCAAATTGGTTGAACGGAGCTTATTTGCCATAATTGATTTGTTACAAGGAACGAAATCTCTCTTTTTGTACTTTATATGCCGTGTGGGGGGATGATTTTCATAAAAATTTCAAATTTTAGAAAAAAAAAATTTCGTTTTTTTTAATGATATTACTGCTGCTCCATAAACCTTGAAGGCAGCCGGAACATTCAGGGCTTCGCCCTGATACGAGCAGTCTTGTTATTGTTATGATTGTTATCGAGGAGTTTTGTTAATATTTCAGATTTATGTCTGTCCGAATTCAGAAAAAGATTGAAGCAAATACTAATGTCACGCGATGGTGAATTTGTTCCTCCAAACAAATCAACACAATTTTCATACCAATTAACTGAGTGGCCCAATAAAGGAATGATGTCTCGGAAGAGGTCATCATTAGGTACTGAAGGTGTACCAAACAAGCGTGTTTTGACTGATGCCGAATTTCGTGATCGTAAGTTTCTCATATTTATTGGTTTTTGACTGAATTCCTGAATATTCAAACTGATGGTCTGAACCAAACCTAAATATATTGCGGAATTTGTATAAACACCCATAACCCGTATTATCTAATGTGAGAAAAATTTGAGTAGTTATTGCCGACTTGTCGAAGTAAGGGAAGTGATATAATGCATCGAAATGAAAGAGCTATGGAGTTTCAATATTTTGACTGAAGAGTATTGGTTAAAACTTGTCATTTCAAGTTTTTAGGTAGAAGTAGCGAAGTAGTTAGTGCTAGATGTTTCTGCTTGAGAAGCTAAGAAGCTAAAATTGGACTAAAGAATTTGGAGGTTAATTTTAGAAAGATATTTATTATAAGGATAGCTGTTGGCCAGGCAAATTTCTGACCATGGTAATTAATGGGGGAAAAGGTTTTGAATTAACCATCGGTATAAAGTATAGAGAAATACTGAAAGTGTACAATTTATGCTGGAATGATATTCGATGAGGAATGTTTATTGATTGTGGCACAAAATGTTTATGTCGGTGTCTCGGGTACTACAGGACGTGTATTGCTGTTTCTTCCGGTGTCCTCTCAAGGCTATCAAAGCAGTTTTCAGGATGGTGAAGGATAGCTTTTTCCGGATGTAGTTCATAGTGTCCGCATACGTACAGTTCAGCTTCTCACTCATTTTTTCCGCCAGTATAGCATGATATCGCTCTGCCTCCTCACCCATGGCGCCGTTGGTCGCAAAAATCAAGGGGGTAAAAGAGGCATGCTCTACCTGCAGAACGCGGTCGTTGTATTCGACTTTTTTCCGATTCTCATGAGTCTTTAGGAGTGGCTTCAGTTTTCGGTTCCTATTACTTGGAGCGTTCGGGTGTGTGAAGCGGACGTCAAGAAACATTTTCTGCAGCGGAGCCCAAAAACCTCGGCAAGAAATATCCAGTCTTGCATTGTCTTCCAGATTGCTTCCACTTGCAAGTTCTTCATTTCCCGTCAATTGGATCAGACCGGGCTCAACGCTCACATCCTTGCACACGTTACGTAAAAAGTCGGCTTCGACGTCGCGGACAGCGTTGTGACGCATTATGACGAAACCACCCAGCTTACAAATCAAGGCATGGTCGATATCATTTGCTGCGCCACACTCACAAGTTTGAGCCATTCCTTTCAGGTGCCATCCATATCGGAGACATAGCGCATCCCGAAACTCGTCTCTGTTCATGTAAAAATTCTGCTCCCTAGATGGCAGACAAGTCAGCCATGCGGATGTTCCTTTTGGCTGTAGCAGGTCTAGCGTGCGCTTCATTTCATTCTCACTTCGGGAATACACAATTTCGAGGGCTTCTTTAGCATGTTTACTGTTCGATCCTGAAATTTCTGCTCGTCCAGTTCTATTCGTGTAGTCAGTAAGATCTTGTTTAGCAATAATTGCGTTTTTCTGTTTGTCAGCTTGACAGAATTTTCATAGAAACGAGACGCACATTCTGTTGGATTTATCAGACCTAAACCACCAGCTGAGCATGGCAATGCTATGATGTCCCGTTCTAGATCACTGAGAGTTCTGTCGACTAAAAGAGAAATAACGTTCCTGAGTTTTGCTTCAAGTGGCTGCATGTGCCGTTCAGAACCAGGAATAGTCCTCATTATAAAATTCCACCGACTCTGGATCACCTTGACGAGAGCAATATGGGCAAGATGGGGCTCCGTTTTGGCCGCTGCTTCCAGCGAAGACAACTCATTCGACCATTCTTCAACTTTGTCTCGTAGATAGTCGTTTGTGAAGTTCTGGCTGCCAATTGCCGCTCCCAAGTATGGACATCCTTCGCTTGTGATGTTGATATTCGTGTTCTCAAAGACCTGCTTGGCTTGCTCTCGGAGACCCTCGCTTTTTATTACTAACCAACATTTCGACGGTTTCGGAAAATACCCAAGCTTGGGGTCGATACTAGGGCCGACATGGTAATTAATGGACTAATAATTTAAAAAGAATTCAGAAAGTTTTGAACTGTTTTTTTTTGTATTTTCGTTTCTTTATGATCATTAATTCATTACCTTTGCCGTAAGCAAGGGTGTTGCAATCGGGCTGTAGGGTTTCCCCGTAAACAACTTTAGTCACACGATGACTGAGTTTAGGTCCTCTTCCTCTGTATTCATGCCTGCAACTTAAACGCTGGTTCTTCTTACCCTTGCGAATGCAGGGGTGATGTCGCAATTTGTCTGTAAGATTACCAACTTACCAAGTTTTATACAGCAGTATAACAAATTTTTTCATTTTTATTTTCTTTTTATTCAGTATAAAAGGTTTCGGCTCAGTGTGCTGCTATTATATTGGCTCAGAGGCCTCTTTTTAGGAGCAAAAATTTTCGATCTAAATGTTTCGAGGGGGGATTTAAAAGCCTTTTTTTGAGCTTTTATATTTTTCTAATAAAAGCATTTTTTGGAGCAACGGATGGCTGCTCAGGAATCCTCGGCTTCGTTGGCTGCTCAGGAATCGTCCAGCTGAAAGGACGTGAGATTCCTAATCTACTGGTCTGAGGTTCAACGCTGCACATATCACTAGTTTTAATTAAATATGGTGGCTTTTGTGTTGCATATAATTGGCTTTTATTAGTATCTATAACTGGCTATTGTAAGCAAACTTTCAAGAGACCGTTGCAATGATGCGAGAACGGCGTAAGAGGTTGTTGCTTCTAATCCAACAGGTTGCAAAATTTTTTCTGATTTGAGTCTTACTTTTTATTATTTCACGTTAGAGAAGAGCTGCTTTTTGTCGTTTTCTCGCTACTGTTTTCGAAGCGCAGCGTTACCTCTGCTTAACATTCAAATGTTTTACCTCTTGCTACTTGTTCTTGAAAGGAATTTGTATTGAAGGCAAAATTCAGACAAATAGTTAATTTTCGATAGACCATTGTCTTAAATTTTTTTTCGTCAATTGCAATCGGGTACTAGACGTTTTTTCCGTAAATAACTTTGTTTACTGGAGTCATCTGGAATTCTGGACTCATCTCTAGTTGGACCTTGTTTCATAATGTATTCCAATTTCTTGGCTCCTGAGCCTGGAAGTATCGAATTTGCCTGCGACAGCAAATGTCCTGGGTTCGAATCTGACCAAGACCTGCTTTTATTTCAAACGAACTATTCGGTTTCAATTAAAGTTGTCTGCCAATTTTTGTCTGCTTATCTTTTGTCGGCTTAGTTGTCACATCGTTTTTTTTTGCTGCGCCGTTTTTCTTTACTGTTGTTTTTAGTGTTTGATTTTAGCGAAACAAAAAAGGAAATACGAAATGAAGGTAAGTAAAATTACAAACTGTAGGAGTAAGTTTGTAATTTTACTTACCTTCTTGTCGTATTTCCTTTTTTGTTTCGCGAAAATCCCTCGGTCCAAGTTATTTCGGCCTATTTTTTTATCGACTTAAGGACGTAATTTTGGGTCGTTTCAAGGTAAACCCAATTTTCACACTCCCCTCATTTTCACATTTTTCAAGTTGATTGTATGTTTACCCTTCGGTTTGTCGAATTTCACTTTTTTTGTTATGGAAGATTTATTATCATTTTTTAAAAATCTGAAATTCCCAACCCTGTAGTTAGGCCCTGTCAGAGTACTCTCAAAGATTGCGAATATTGCCTCAAAGTATGACTGCTCAATTCTTTGTAGTTTTCGAGATATGACGCTTTTTTGTGATTTTTTCAAAAAAGTTTTCAGAAAATTTATATTAATTTGTTTGGCAAAATCTGAAATTTCCAACCCTGTAATTGGGTTCTGTCAGAATACTATCAAGAATTGCGAATCTTGCCTTCAAATATGACTGCTCAAATCCTTGTAGCTTTCGAGATATGACGTTTTTTAAGATTTTTTCAAAAATTTTCAGAAAATTCAAATTTTTATTTTTTAAAAATCTGAAATTCCCAACCCTGTAGTTAAGACCTGTCAGAGTTCTCTCAAGGATTGCGAATCTTGTTTCTAAAAATGACTGCTCAATTCTTTGTAGTTTTCGAGATGTGATGTTTTTTGTGATTTTTTTAAAATCAGAAAGTTTAAATTAATTATTTGTCAAAGTTCGAAATTCACAAATCTATAGTTCGGTGTTGTCAGGGTACTCTAAAGAGTTGCAAATCTTGCCACTTGCGACTGCTCAAATGCATATATTTAAATGCGGGCTTCACTATCTCGCCATGTTTAAGCTTTTTCAACGTAATATTTTGGCATGTTTAAGCTATATCGTATATTGCAATGGTTAAGAATTTTTTTTCGATTTTCCAATTTGATTTTAGTGGTTATTTTACCGAGTTTAAATTAAGCAGCCCAATATCGAATTAGCGGTTGCAAATTTGGCCTCCAATTTTGAATGCCCGAATCCCTTTAGCTAACGAAATAAGACGATTTGTGAGATTTTTCAAAATTTTCCAGAAATTTCAAATAACAAAATAATTTACAAAACTTGAAGTTCCCAACCCTGTAGTTGGGTACTATCAAGGATTGCGGGTCTTGCCTCCAAATATGACTGCCCAAATCTATGTAGTTTTCGAGATATGACGTTTTTTGTGATTTTTTCAAAAATGTTCAGAAAACTAATTTATTATTTTTCAAAATTTGAAATTCGCAACCTTGCATTTGGGTGCTGTCAGAGTACTCTGAGGAATTACAAATCTTGCCTCCAAATATGACTGTTCAAATCCTTGTGGCTTTCGAGATGAGACGTTTTTGTGATTTTTTCAAAAAGTTTTCAGAAAACTTATATTAATTTTTTCGCAAAATCTAAAATTCCCATCCCTGTAGTTGGGTCCTGTCAGAGTGCTCTCAAAGATTGCGAATCTTGCCTCAAAGTATGACTGCTCAATTCTTTGTGGTTTTCGAGATATGACGTTTTTTGTGATTTTTTCAAAGAAGTTTTCAGAAAACATAAATTAATTTTTTTTCGCAAATTTTGAAATTCCCATTCCTGTAGTTGGGTCCTGTCAGAGTACTCTGAAAGATTGCGAATCTTGCCTCAAATTATGACTGCTCAATTCTGTGTGGTTTTCGAGATATGACGTTTTTGGTGATTTTTTCAAAAATTTTCAGAAAGTGTAAATTAATTATTTTTTAAAATTTGAAATTCCCAACGCTGTAGTTCGGTGTTGTCAGGGTACTCTGAAGAGTTACAAATCTTGCCACATGCGATTGCTAATCGAGACTGCTCAAATGCTTTTAGTTTCCGAGATGTGACTTTTTTTGATTTTTTCAAAAATTCTCAAAGAACTTATCTACAACGAAATTCAAAAAATTTGAAACTACTAATTTGATGAAGATACAACCTTATTGTCAGCGTAGACCCAGGCGTCTCAAATCCTGCCTTTTAATATGAATGCTCAAATCCTTTTAGTTTCCCGAGATAGGACGTTTTTTTTCAATTTTTTTTGTCGGGGAAACTTAGGTGTAAAAAAGTTCACAATGTTTTGGATTCCTAACCCTATAGTAGGGTGCTCTCAGTGACTCTCAGTGGTTGCAAATATGGCCTCCAAATTTCTCGAGAGGCCCATTAAGTTAATTTTAAAAGTTCGAAATTACCAACCCTGTAATTGGGTGCAATCAGAGTACACTAAAAGTTTGCAGATGTTGTTTCCAATATATGCGGTTTTTCATGAGTTGTCGAAAAATTTCGAAGCACCGAAGGTGCGTTAAACGCTAGTTTTACTTACCTTCATGTCGTATTTCCTTTTTTTGTTTCGCTAAAATTCCTCGGTCCAAATTATTTCGGCCTATTTTTTATCGAATTAAGGACGTAATTTTGGGTCGTTTCTAGGTAAACCCAATTTTTACACTACCCTCAGCATTTTTCAAGTTGATTGTATGTTTACCCTTCGGTTTGTCGAATTTCAATTTTTTTGTTCTGAAAGATTTTGTCGTATTTGTTTCAAAAGTTTTAGTTTATCTCAAACTTCTACTGATTTTCAAAAAAAGGTGTATCAAATGAAAAGCCGCCTACTCTCCTGTGTCCTTGCATACTCACATAGAGTCGCATCTTTGCATCTCTGTCTGCTGTCTTCGAAAAAGTCTGTGGGGGAATATTTGACACATTTTTGTGATTTTTTTGAAATTTTTTGAGCTTTTGAAAAGCTCTCCTGCATCAGCCGCTACGCCCAATTTTTTCTACACATAAAGTTATGGCCATCGGAATATTGAATATTGAGCGGCCACTCACTATTTTTTTTACTCTAAAAGTTATGGCCCTCGCAAAGGACAAAGTTTTGATTTTTTTACCGTCTTTTTTTAAAAAACTTATTCAATATTCTCGAAAACTACCCTGCCGTATCTGAGATTTTGTGTTCAATCGAAATTACAGGTTGCTTGAATCCTTTCTGCATGAGCGGCCACGCCCTTTTTCACACAAAAAGGTATGATTCTCGGAATGTCAACCGTTTTTTGGACTTTTATTGCTACATATCGTGCCATATCATAGGTTCAATCGAACCAACAGGTTGTTTAAAGCCTACCTTTATAATTGGCTATGCCGAGTTGAAAAAAATTATGGCCGCCAAACATTCAAAGATTTGAAACTTTGACATTTTTTTTGGAAAGTTTCTTGACTTTATGCAGAAGCGTCAACTTTTTGCTGTTTTATAAGAGAAATTTTTTGTCATTGGAAAAATAACATGATCTCAAAATGTTCAATCTTTTCACATATTTTAGTAGAAAAACGATTAAGGTTTTGGACTTCAACTCCAATTTTAGAAATCACGCATTTCTTCCCGCATCAGTATAACAAATTCATACAAAATGAAACACCTACCTCCAGCTTTTTAGCGGGGCCCCTAGGTAGTTTTATCGAGACAATCGAAAATTTTGGTTCACCTAGTATTTTTCATTTTTTCGAAAAAGTCTGTGTAAAAACGTTATCAATATTACCTTTATTGGATGTTTTCGTCCGATGACATTATCTATAAAATTATATAAAAATTAGTTTGATAAAAATTAATTTTTATAAAAATTAGTTTGATATAAATGAAAACCTAAACGAGGATAGTGTCGTTTTCAGTGGGTGTGTGTCTCAATACGATTGCGTAGAAAATTTGTAAATTCGAAATAGTTGACACTAATCGTCATAAATTTTGAATAAGAGCAAAAAACTTCTTGAAAAAAATTTGCGTCAAACAAGCGCTAAATGCGCCAAAAAATAGTTTTCTTTCAGTAAAATCTAATTTTTTATTGTAAAAATTAAAAAAATATATTTTCAAATAACGAGCGTTTTTTGATCGCGTTACTCGCTCGAAATTAGGCTAAATCACATAAATTTCAAACCAGATTTTCTCGACACTGGGACTATTTTTTGATCTTGCTGTGCAGTGGAGCACTCATGGGAAACTTCAAAGAAGGAAGAGCAATTTATAGCTTCCTCGTAGTCAAAATAACCAGCACCCACCGCCTTGCGACCTGATGCTTTTTTAAAGAGCTTTTTTTTCTACAGCTTTCATATTTATTTGTGTCGGTTAATTTTTTATGCTAGCTAATGTATGTGCTGTAGAGCGAGGCTTTGCTTCGCCTCTTTTCGTAATTCAGCTCCAAGATTAAGCATTTTTTTGAGAGAAATTTATAATTTTTTATTTTTCGGTTTGTCGGCTCATCTGAAAGTAGTGATAGTCAATTATTTTGTATTGCAAGTGGTGCGAAGCTCTGCTTCGTCTCTATGTTGAAATTAGCTCCAAGTTACATAAGTCCAAAATACATCTGCAATTACCCTCTGAAAATGATTCCGAAAAAAATGGAGACTTGTTCTTCTCGACACCAAGGCTTTTTTTCGTTGTTTTTTTAATGGGAATTACGACTGAAAATGCGCCATGATGTATAACACTCGACTATATCGGACGTTTATATCCGGTAACTCGTGCTGCGTAATAAAACACCACTTAGGCCAAAATTCAATCCTCACCCCCTATGGGTGGTCGGAACAAGAAGGGGGAAATTGTCTCTCTGCTTACGTACGTCAGTGCACAAAATGGATGGGGGCAATAACATCATTAAATAAATACATCAATAAATTTTGTATCGTACATGAAGTCAATTATGAAATGTGAGCTTGATTGAAATATTTAGACTTTTCTGACCTTAGTTTGGACTGCACGGCTATAACTACTGAAACCCTCAATCAAGTGGAGGTTTTGGGTGGCGACAGTTTGAAACAAAGCTGTTCCAAAATGACAACAGCAGATGATCACATGGACGAGTTTCTTGATTCAGACTCCGAAGAATCGGAAAATAAGCCCTTTGTTTTCTCAGAAACGCTGAAACAGAAATTATCCGAGGATTTGGTGTCAATGGTGCTAAAAAGAAGTGCATCTTCGGGTCCACCGCCGTCACCACCTAAATCCTGGGCCATAGTTCCCTACATTTCACCTGACGAAAGGTTACCGGCGGCGATAGATTACAATAATGGCCCTCAAGAAAAGTCGTAAGTTCAGAGTCGTGATCGGTATTAGGATTCAATTCAGTCGTTAGTAGCAAGGGAAATAATCTTTTTCGGAAACCTTGAAAGCGTATGTTAAGTTAGCAGAATTAAATCTTGAGGTGTATTTTTCGCTTCTATCAGAGAGGTGTCTATCTTTTTTTTTGGTAACGGGGCCTTCTATTGTAATCGATCGACAGGTTGTTAAAGTTATTTGACAAGCCGGAAACTCAGAAGGAATCCAATTTAAACAATGAAGCAGATGATTCGCACAGTAGCTCCTTCGCCGGCGATGAGAGGGGAGTGAAGCAAACTGATTCAGCGTACTCTTCAAATGACGAAATAGACGATGTCGAAATACTGGAAACATTGGTGGAAAGTATCGAAAAAATGGAGTGCAGTTAAACGCATGGCAGCCTGAAAACTTAGCAGCGCAGTGTAACGTATTCATGATAATTGCTAGAATAGTGTTATAGGATGTGCTAATTTATCTTTTTTAATTTAAAAGTTATCTATTAATTGAACTTACGAGAGCAAGTTTCTTTTAATCGGGAACTAGACTTTTTTCCGTAATAATTTTTTTTTACATATCTGTAAATTGAATTTGTTTTATTGATTAACATAAACAATTCCAGGCTTCCCGCCTCATCTACAGGTAACGTTTTTGCCTTTGGGGACCCTAAAGGCATGGGCTCTAATCCCAATCGGATCTTGTTTTTTTTTCAGTGCATGTGCGAAAAATGATTTTTTTTTCGGGAAAATTTAAACTATCTGACTTCCATTTGTGTTTTTTGTCAGCTTAATTTCCAAAGCATGGATTAGTTTTACAATTGAAAAATTCATTAATTTAACTGACAGACGTGTTGGTCGTCAATTTACCAACTGTGATTTTGAATAAGCTTTTTAATGAATTTTTTTTTTCAGTTATTATGGTTTGGACTGATGGTTCATTGGCCCAGTCAATTTGTTTTGTGATTTGATGGGCAAAAATTGACCGTTTTGAAAAAATTCAAAAGGGTTGTGGTGGAAAGGGTCTTGTTTTTTGTTTGTTTTCGGCTCAGTGGGCGTCCACTTTAAGTATTGTTGGCACATTTGCCGCACATTTTGAAAAACTACTTTTTGAAGCAAACACATTAACAGAGCTCTGAAGAGTAAACGTTTCCGTGGTAATGCATTTTTGACGTTGGCGGAAACATATTTTATCCAGTGCAACACTCAGATTTTTTGCGTAGTTCTTAAACTTGCTTATTGTTCCGACTTTCGATACGAAAGTAACGGAATATTTGTGCTCGGGGTGGGTTTTTTTTTCTTCAGACAAATTTCGACTTTTTAATTAGCCGACTTTCAACCAGTCTTGTTCTTGTTTTGCTCTCTTTCATGCGAACAGTTTTATGTTTGTTCATGTGGATTGTTATTGAGGTGTAGTAAATGGATATCAGATTTTTTTGCCGCTTCAGGGTGCATTTCGTGTGAAGAAACTCAACTTCAATTACGTACCATTTGTGTTCAAAGGAGGGGTTTCTGTTGTGACATAAGTTCACCGAGCATTTGCTTAGCTACAAGTTTGATCTCATTTTCACTAAATCAAAGCGAAGATTTTCGAAAAACTGCAGTCGAAATGATTGGCGCTGTCGGCGGATTGTTTGAAATTTCATTCTTGAGGGTGGTTGCTGTAGCTCTACGAATTGAAAACATGTCTAGAATTTCACCCGTGATATCTGTACTGTTGGATTTTTTGATCGAAACCGCAATCTATGTTAAGAAAACCTGTCGAAATTAGTTGACGTTGACGGCTGTTTAAGGTGCCCAGGAGATATCAGTTGAGCCAAGTTTGGTAATGGTGTACAGAGAATATGAATGAATTTGGCCTGATTGAATGCAATACGTGTTTAAAAGTATTGAACGTAGAGAGTACTCTTATATAGGTCTTGCTGATATTTTTTTCTTTTTTTTCATGAAAAAATATTAAAATTTATTAACGCTCAATTTTGATTTTTCGCGGTTAGACTTCTGATTTCTTTTTAAGTTCAGTGCATTTCTATTTTCAAAAGGAAGGCAAACTCCACTATCAAACAGCAAAATTGTAAAGGTCACGAAAAACGTGATCGACTTCTTATTTCGAAAATGGAAATTAGTTATCAAGTTTAAGACCATCTATTTTTTTTCGAAATTCAAGTCGGTGTTTTTTTTTCAGTTTTCTTGCGTTCATGACTCTTTTGCAACTGTCAGTTGGTTATGTTTATAATAGTGGGAACCGTGTCGCGTGCTGGGACATTTTCAAAATTTTAAGCAATGAATGAGAAGAAAACTCAGAATGAGTTTTTTTTTTCAGCTGAAGATTAACTACAAGCAATAAGAAGTCCTGCGCACATGCGGGTCTATAACTTTCGTGATAACCTGAAACGGATGCTTATAAAATAGTCTTCGTTCATTTTTTTATTGTATGGTAGAAACTATGGTAGATAGGCAAAAACTACTTCATGTTGATGTAGATATATAGACTGCCAGGCCTGTAGACGTCGTTCAAAATGAGGTTGATTTGACAATGATATAGACAAGTACTCAATTCTGCAAATTTTCTCGGTTGAAGCTTTGTTATTCGTTTTCTTTGACTTCAACGACAGGATCATTGCGAATTTTTGTTTGCTGAGAAAAATTGTTTGGATTGTTTCTCATCTGACATCAAATCATGTCTTATGACAATTATTTTTATTAGCAGTAGCTGATCACAAGTAAACGCATGACAGTTCCGAGCTCTTTTGTTTTCAGAACCTTTGTGCTGCTGGGAAGTGTTTAGTCGAGATTGCCGGCTTCCTCTCTCGCGAGCGCGAAGTCCGAAACACTTTTTCTCAATTTTGAACCTGTAATGATCAAGTTCTGCTTTTTGAAATCTGACTTTTTTGTGACCAATTCAGGTTAACTTTTTAAAATTCTTATTTGTGTTTTTTTTTAGTTTGAGGAAAATGCTTATTTTCTGAAGTACATTTTATGGCTGAAAGGCAGGAAAAATTGAAAAAAGCCTTTGTCTATTTTGAAACAGTCTTTTCGTGGTTTTTTTTCCGAGTGTCTTGGTTAGAATTTTGCTTTCAATTTGTGTATGCGAGAACTCGTGCAAGTAGGTTAGCTTGGAGGGAAAAGCATTCATTAAAGAATGTTACCAATTGACTCAGTTGCAACCAAGTAGGTTAGCTCAAAGAAGAAATTTTCCATAAAAGAATATTGAAATTCGAAGAGTTGTAACGTGACACTTTTCTAACTGCCTGATGGCCGTTTCAAGTTTAATGGTTTTGTGATGAAATGTTGGTTTTTTGTATGATGGCTTTTGCTCAAAATCGAAGGCAAAATTAGCTGAAAATGAATGATTTTAGTAAAGCAAAGTTTTGCTGTACAACTAGTGCAAATTATATCTGCTCATTTTGTAATCGTTCAGTTTCATTTTTTATACCCTGGATTTATCATGTGTTCTCTCCATCATTAGGATGATTGGAAACAAATTAAAATGGGTTGTTTGATATAAGTGTTCACGATAGAAACGTTCACGATAGGCAAAAACTACTTTATGTTGGTGTAGATATGTAGACTGCCAGGCCTGTAGACGTCGTTCAAAATGAGGTTGATTTGACAATGATATAGACAAGTACTCAATTCTGCAATTTTTCTCAGTTGAACCTTTGTCATTAGTTTTCCTTGACTTCAACGACAGGATCATTGTGATTTTTTGTTTGCTGAGATAAATTGTTTGGATGGTTTCTCATCTGACATCTAATCATGTCTTATCTATACTATATTTAAATGCGAGTGACAGCTATCTCCCATGTTTAAGCATAATAATTTTGCATGTTTAACGAAAGAATTTTTCAATTTTTTCATGTTTAAGCTATATCGTATATTGCAATGCTTAAGAAAATTTTTCAATTAGTTTTCCGCAAGGTCAGTAATTTCCCAGTATTTTTTTTCAAGGTCAAATTATGTCAGTCTGTCTGTGTACCTGCTTTTTTAATTAATTCGATCATGTCTGTCTACACGTCGCCTATTTTTTTAGCTTTCATCTATTATATGTTTACATGCGGGCTTCACTATCTCGCCGTGTTTGAGCTTTTTCAACGTATTATTTTTGCATGTTTAACAACAGAATTTTTTCACGTTTAAGCTAAATCGTTTATTGCAATGGTTTAGGTTTTTTTTAGATTTTCCAGTTTAAATTCAGTGATTATTTCATCAAGTTTGAAATAAGCAACCTAATAGTAGGATAATGCCAGAGTTTTCCCAAGTTTTGCGATTCTGGCCTCCATATACGAATAACCAAATCGTTTTAGTTTACGAGATTTTTCAAAAGTTTCTCAATTTTTGAAATTCTCACCCTGTAGTTGGGTGCTGTCAGGGTACTCTCTGGGGTTGCGAGTCTTGCCTTCAATTCTCACTTCTCAAACTCTTAAATTCACGAACGAAAATTTACAAAACGTTGAAGATCTCAATCCTGTTGTTGGCTTTTGTGAGTGTTTTCTCAAGGATTGCGAATCTTGCGTCTGATTGTGGCTGCTCAAATCCTTGTAGTTTTTGAGATATGACATTATTTTTTGGTTTTTTCAAAATTTTTCAGAAAACTTTTTTTTCAGATATAAAAAATTTCAGAAATTACAATCTCTGTAGTGAGACTCTGTCAGGGTACTCTCAGAGGTTGCGAATCTTGCCTCCAATTCTCACTTCTCAAATACTTGAAGTTTTCGTGATATGACGTTTTTTTAGGTTTTTTTGAAAAATTTTCGAGAAAACTTAAGTATAAAGAATTTCATAAAACTTGAAATTTTCATCTCTGTAGTGAGGCTCTGTCAGGGTATTCTCAGGAGTTGCGAGTTTTGCCTCACAACTTGACTGCTCAAATTCTTGTAGTTTTCCAGATATGACGTTTTTTGTGATTTTTTCAAAAACATTTTCATGGAAATTAAATTTTTTTTTTCAAAGTTTCTTAGTTTGTTTGAGTTTCCTAACCTGTAGTTGGGGGGCTGTCAGAGTAATCTCAGGGGTTGCAAAATTAGACTTTAATTAAGAATGCCCAAAACATTTGTGGTCAAGAGATGCGACGATTTTTTGTAGTTTTTGGATGATTGCTCAAAGTTTGGTAGTTTTCGAGATGTGAATACCTTTTTTGTAGAAAACTTAAGGGGAAGTTTCTCACAATTCGAATTTCCCACCGTTGTAGTTGGGTACTGTAAGAGTACTCTCAGGAGTAGCAAAATCTTGTGTCCAAATGCGACTGCTCAATTGCTTTCAGTTTCCCAGATGTGTCGTTTCTTAGTTCATTCTAAATTTTTCGAAGAACTTAGATAAAACTTCACAAAATTTTATGGTTCTTCAAAGTTTGTATGAAAAACTTGAGTAAAAAAACATTGCAAAATTTGTAATAACGAACCCTGTAATAAGGTGCTGTCAGAGTACACTCAAAGAATAGTTTTTTTGAGTTGTTGAAAATTCGAAGCACCGAAGGTGCGTTACACGCTAGTAACAATTTTTTTATTAGC